TTGCTGAAGATGCAAGTGAAAAACTTGGAAGACGACAAGCAAGAGCTCGAGCATAATCTCGCTGTGCAAATCACCAGCGAAATGCAGGCGAAGAAGAGCGATATGGATAGCGAAAGCGCGCAGCTGCGTGAGCTCACTACGCAACTACAGCAACAATTGCAAGCACTTCAAAGCGAAAAACACAACATGGAAGAGGAGCTAAAGGTGCTGAACAATCACGTTATGAGCAGCCTCGAAAACGAAGACAAGCTGAAAGCAGCCGCACTGCAGCTTGACACGCAAAACATTGAAATTGCCGAACTGCGGCGAACAATCGAGGCGCTCAGAGCGAACGGTAGTGCTACCGCTGAACCCGGAGCGCTAACTGCGACCACATCGGCCGATTATGCCACATTGAATGCGCAATGGGAAGCGATTGTTGAACAGAAATGCGGCGAAATCGCCAAGATGTGGCGCGAACATTTGGAACAACGCGAAGCTGAATTCAAAATGACGGAGGCACGCCTGCGCGACGAGATCGCTGTTGCTGCACAGCGCCAGGCACAGTCGCACGAGCAAGGCACACAGCCGGGCAACTCCGCTGAAACCTCCGCGACGTCAACGCCTGCCTCCGTATCGACCAGCCAATCGGGCACATCATCGGGGGCTGCATCCAAAGATGGTACGCCACTACGTCACCGTATCATCAACGAAGAGCATGAGGCGGATGCTGATGCAATAATCGAAAAGATGCAAGCAGCGCTCGAGAGTCAAGAAATGGAAATCGTCACGTTAAAGGAACAACTGGCCATACGTTCGGCAGAGTATGCGCGCTTGGCGGCACAATATGATCCCTTTAAACTGCAAAATACCTCCTCGCATAGCGGCATCAGTGGCGGCATGCCGGCCGAACCGCGACGCCCCGCCAATGCGCCGAGCGGCAACGATGCCACGCTTGTGCCGAAATCAGAATTAGATTTCGCGCTCTATATGTTGCATCAGCGCGATATGCGTTGCGAAGAGATGACGGTGGAGCTGGTATCGCTGCTGGAGGAGCGTGACACGCTGCAACTGAAATTGTCGAATACGCTACGTCAAGTGGAGGCCATCAAAGCGGCAACGAATTATGTCGAGCGTGAGTTTTTTTTTTTTTTTTGTTTCCTGTTAAAATTTTTGTTAACCATATACGCGTCTTTTGTTTTTCGTTTAGCTCTCAGCACGCCCGCCGATAACGCCCCGCTTGCGTTACCAACTGCAGCCGCATCCAGTCAACCGCGCTCGGGTGCTGCCATCGGTGACTCAGCCACTGAATTGAGCCAAAAGTAAGCAGATTATCAAGCCACATTAAACACAAGTCAGATTATTAATTATTTCTATTCATATAATATCATTTAGATTGTCTCAGTTGCAAACTGTCAATCATTCCAAGGACAAGGTGATTAAAGAGGAACGCGATCAGCGCATACGACAAATGGAAAAGATACAACAGGACGTGGCCAAAATGCCGCCTGCTGCTGTCTCCGAATTAGTCGGCACTGATGCAGGTAACTGCGAACTTATGTCAATCGCCTAATAGTGTCAATTTAATTACTAATTTTTCTTTAATCAGCTCAAAGCGGCCAATCGCCGTCATCTGTGCTGCTGAACTGGCTGTGGGGCAATAAGCCCGACGGTGGCGGTTCTGCGCCACATTAAAGCAATAAATATACAATTATAACAACAACATACCAGTCGTGACAATATACGAATTTCAGTGAAAGCGTACCGAACACTGCTTTAAAACCGTTGTAATCATCACTCAGGCTGTATTGCGTTCAGCGGGTGTTTACCGCTATGCACCGTTGTGCATACAACAAGCGTACATCAATTGTTATCGCCTCCAATGTTATTCCACGATAATACGATAAAACTTTTTATAAATGTACCTTATTTTTTCGTTCGATTTATAACATATTTAACAAAACTGCAAAAAAATGTCTGTAAATAATGCAGCTGAATATATCAAAAATACCTGTTTGTTTTTTTTTTTAATTTTTTGAAAGCTTATTTAATAACTGCGTAATTAAAAAAATCAAGTATATACCTAAAACTAACTTTCATTCTGTAGTGTAAAATGTATGCATAGTTGTAAAGAACAATTAATTAAAAACTCTATTTAGAAAATTATTGGAATTATGATGAATGATAGTGAAGAAATACAAATTGTAACCATATGCTTTGTGTTTGCTTAACTGTTTACTTTTCATTGGCTTAGGTTGGTTTTAACTAACATTTTCGTTGTTAATTAAATATGGGGCATATACATACATATATACGTGTATGCGTTCGCACTGCCTTACTTTTGGAAAGAAAAACTAATTAGCTCTAGAGCTGTGGTCGGCATTTCATAGAACAATTGTGCAAGCTAACTTCACACGTATGCTTACGCTGTATCGTTCAGTCGTTGTCTAGACAGTGTCGAAACAACATCGCTTCTAAGGGAAATGTGCCCTGCACGAAATTTTTTGTTATTATGAATGATTTGTGATATTATGAACTACATTTTGTGTTTTACGTTGTTTCAAGACAATAAAATGAAGGTTTTCATTGTCCAGTAGACTTATTTAAATCGTACAATATATAAAATAAATCAGGTGACACGAAATTGCTTGTTTAAACAAAGAATGAAAGATATCCACAAAATTTAAAAGTAACAGAGTTCTCACTGGGTATTTTTAATTTCATGCTCACCTACACAGTCGCAGTTCCTCTCATGCCGACCACTGCCCTAGCGAGTCGAGGGTAGCTTTTTCTTCGGTTGTATTTTCGATTGTGTTCGCTGTCGACTGTGGAACCGTCCTCCAACCTCAAACACAACTGAATTAAACGCCGTCACTTAAGAGGTTATATGTATATAGTCACTTATGAAATTAAAAAAAAAAAATTTTTTTCTATTTTTAATTATATCAAATTTAAATAGTATATTTGAGAATATTCCAGTAAATTTTAAGTTGATTCGGCAAATAGTTTCGGAGGTATGAGCGTATTTGTAAGAATTTTTTATTGGCTCCCAAAACTTTGAACGCCTTCTTCCCGAAACGCTGTTTTAAGAGTCGGTGAGGAACATTTCTTCGAAACGGCTTTACTGCTCTACTAAAAATTTTCACACGACTTTCGTAGATATTTTAGTCCGGTCGAAGGAACAGATTTTTTATAACAATTTCGATTTAAGCCAATCTGAATTGTAAATTTGTTTACAAAGAAAAGACTTTTTTCGGAAGCAACCATTTTGCATAAAAATGTTGACTAGTATTTCGTACCTTACCTGGAATCATAATAAATAATAATACATTTTTTGTTTTTTGGATTAGAGATAATTTCAAGCAGAAAAATCTTCCTCAATGCAATGAATTCTGTAAATGTACATTTGTTTTTCATTTATTAAAGAGTGCCTCTTCAAAAAAAAAAAAAAAATCATAAAAAACCAATTTTTTCTGACTTGCAAATGAATATAACCTGATCCACAGCGAACGGTCTTCACGTCATCATTTCCAAACTGCACCTAAACTACCATCTATTCCAAAACTCGAGCGAGACTGGTCGACGGAGTGGTAAGAAATATACAGCTGAGTTTTGCTAGATGCCACAACCCTTCTTTTCAACGCGGTTCTGCTGCGTCTTTGTTCATCCAAATCACAACTTTACAATACATTCGACTATCAAATCGATTACAAGATGGAAGCGAAATTGCTGTTTGTGAACGCTGAGGAGGTTGGGAGGTATATATATATAGCTAAGGTTCAAGAAGCCAAGTTAAATGGTCTCAGATCTTCTAAACTATGCATGGTTCCATGCTATACGAGAGAACCTTAGGCAAGTTGGTGTAGCCTTGCTTTTTGTTGTACTTAGTAGTGTCTATCGTCTGACCGTTGAATATAAACTGAGTGTCGATAAACAGAGTGGTTAGAAAATATAGATTTGACATTGTACTTGCCATAAATTTTGCAATCGATAAATACATCGATGTTATTTTCAAAGATAGCCTTCTAAAACATTTTCTTTTTGTAGATGTGATCATGTAGGGTGCCTAGTTTTTGGTGAATAAGAATTCGGTTCCTTTCCGAAAAGGCTACGCTTACGAAGTTTTAAACGAGCGTCTTTCCTCAGTATGTGCGATTCACTACGAACTACACTAACTATGGCGCTAAACGCATATTGCAATCGTAGACATAACTAGATAGTATATGGCGTAAAGGTTGCTCTCAGACTCAGAGAAGCTGCGTTCTTAGATGAATGTAAGCCTGGGGACTCTGAAATATAATCCAACTCAAGGATTATTATTAAAGCTTTAATTTTCAAAAGATAACCAAAATGGTAGAACACGAAGTGCGCAAACGCGAAACAAATGTAAATTCTAACATTGTTTTTTAATTATAAGCTTCGAATAATTTTTTTTTTAATTTTTTAATCTGGTATTTGAGATTAAAAATTTTAAAACTATATTTAATTAAGATTTTCGAGATAACAAAATAAAAATTTTTTTTTTAAAGTTAATTCAATTACTTGTGTAATATATTATTTGCAACCCTGGTTGTAATACATCTATTTCAGTACTTCTTTCTTCTCTCAATCCTCATAGCAATTCTGATTTGTATTTTTGGTATATCCTTGACTAGTACAGTTTCTTTCGGTTGAGTCTTTTCATTATCTAATGGAACCTTAGATAGGACTTTGATTAAGATCATATACCACGTACTCGCGATTTTTCCCTAGTTATAACAGGGAACTCAGGAGTTTTTACTCGATTCGCTTAAAAATCTCTGTACATACGAAATAATTTTGATTTATATTATTATGGTATCACACAGGGGCTTTGTATGCTGAAACTTATTTCATAGTTTCAAGCTTCACATTCAAAAATTCATTAACAAATAGTAATAACGGACTAAGAATTATAAACATAGAAACTATTTTTTTTTTTAATATTCGCCTTTTATTAATTCTTTAAATCCTTAAACAAGCATGTGTGGTTTGTAGCCGGTTCAGTTTCGTCTTCTGTTGGGTCGTCTTTTTAAAGGTGTCTTAAATCGATTGCGCCTAGTTCGTCTTTTGGAGGGTTTTCCAAGTGCTTGCGATTTTTTCGTCTTATTCTTGGAAGATGGTTTTTTATTTTTATTCCCGCCTGTGTTCACTTTACGGTTAGTTTTAGGTGCCGTTGTTGTGGTTGTGTTTTGTTTGCTTCGAGCTTTTAACGGTTGTTGTTTTGGTTTATTCGTGAGTTTTTTAGTTGCGTTAACTTTATTGGCGTTGTTGTTTGTTGGCTTCTTATTTTTGAGATTTCCATTGACTTCTGCCTTGCTATTATTCGTGCTTATTTCGTTTAAATTTAGCACTTTTTTGTTATGCAAAGCTTCTTTTTGCTCTTTCGAGTGTTCTTGCTTCTGTTTTTGTGTTTGTTTTCGTGTATTTTCCTTTACGCCACTTGCACCTTCTGCCGGTCCCAACACTTCAGTGCTACTTTGCTCTGCTTTCGCGTGCTTTTCATTATCAACTTCCTGTTGTTTATTCTCCCTCAATTGAGCGTTTAATCCAGTGTGGTCCACAGCTGCTTCGCTCTTGTTGTTGTTGTTGCTTTCTGCAGTGGTCAATTGGCGCATCGGCGATTCGGTTGTGTTCTCAACTAAATCTAACTCATCATTATTTTCAGTGTGTTGCGGCACAACAATTGCATCCTCGGGCTTTTGCAAAAATTTACTATTCGGTCGTTGTTTTTTACCAAGCCTAATTGCTCTTTTTGTGGTGTGTGGTGGTTCCAATGTGGTTTCCATTGTATTCGTAGCATTTACTTTACTCTTCAATATTGCCACTAAAGCCTCAACCGGGTGCTCTTTCAAAGGTTTGTTGTTTTTATTGTTGTTGTCCTTCCGCACTGTACGCGCATAAGCTGGTGCGGTGGTGAAGAGTAGCCCAACACCAGTCAAGCAGAATAGAATTAAGACTTTCATCTTGCACTTCTTGGCAATGAATGAAGAATACGGAATTGAGGAAAGCTCATTTAATTACCGGATGTTTAGGCTATGTTTGTTAAATTGCTATGTAAGCGCTTGCAGCGCATATGCAACAATACATACATGTCCATATATTATAGTATAGTTATATATAATATGTATATATATATATATGTATGTATGTATATATATGTATTGCTTTTGCTTCCGATTTGCTGTTGGTGACACCAGTTACTTTGATGTGGCATTTCATGCTCAAATAGTAATTAAGTCAATACAAATATTAAAATGAACTTAAGAAAACAAATTTGAACTCAAATGCAGTGGCTTTGCGCAAAGCGTAGAAAAGTTGTTTGTTAATATGTATGCTTTGAATGGCAGCTAGTTTTATTATTAGTTTATGCTTTCTTCTTCTATATTTTATTCTATATTGTGGGACAGATCTCATTGCCGCTGTAGTTCAATTTAATTTATACGAATTTATTCCTAGAGCTTCTTGTACTTTGGGCCCATGTAAAAAGATATTTATTTGACCGCAGTTTTGGCTTACGAAGTTTTCTCATGCCAGTTTCTTAGTAGTATATGTGGCAGCATTATTATCAATAACAAGCTTACGTGTAGATAAATGGTTGTAAGTGAATATGCGCACGGTGACATCGACATATACAGACACGCGCTCACACACATACACTTGTTTGAGCCAGTTAGTGTTTACTAACAAAGTTTGTGCTAAGCATACATTTAGAGACACTCTTTTAATATATATTATCAGCGCACGCTCACTGACACACACATATACACTACACATACATACACAATCTATTGACACATGAACTTGGGATACACTAAGTTTGTTGGCTTACATACCCCCATAGCTATATATTATAATTCAATATATTCGCCCATACTATTACATGTTACAGCAGACCACATTTTTATTATGTTTCTTCGCTTGTTTGCATGCTCTCATATGGAACATATAAATGTAGCTGCAGTGAAAATATTTACATACAAAGGTATTCATTATATAAATTTGATACATGCAGTTAAGAGCCTGTAAGAAAAAGTTGCGCTATGAAAGTAGTTTAACGAGAAGGGGAATTGGAGAGAGATAATACTGATAATAATCTTACTGTTTTAGATCAATCTCGATTTCATTATTGATAGAGTGACGTTGAGACCCTGTAAGAAAAAATTTATTGTTTGTCGAAAAGAGAATGTAAATAGTGATTTAGAGAGGGAGTGATATGTAGTGATCTCTTCTTCGATAGAGAGACATCTGTAGGAAAAATGTTGCTCCATTATGGTAGTTTTGTGAAAAGAGGATGTAAAGAGTGATATAGAGACAGAGAACACTGTTGAGGAACAAGTCAAAACATCAAGTTAATAAGAGTATTTAAAAATCTCTGTAAGAAAAAGTTTTTAACCAGAAAATAGCAAGAAAGAGGGACTCGAAATCGCCAAGTTTCGAGTTTGTGCAACCAAGACATGATTTATGGTTAGATATGGTTTGATAATGGCGACACTGTACTGACCTATTTATATATTTTATGCTGACAGCTTGGATAAGTGTTCGAAAAAGGCATTGTGGAGAGTGATTCTATCACTAAAACGGTTATATGGAGTTACTATATACAAATACGGATGCCTTTTCTTCAAAAGGGAAATAGGGTGGAAAAATGTTCCAGGCAAGAGAATATTTTAAAAATAGAAACTACCTGTATTTTGTAATCAGAAAGATACAAGACAGAGCGAATCGAAAACCTTCAGGTTTGACGTCTATGCAACCAAGACATGAGCTGTGCTAATTAGATTATGTCTGGTAATTGATCTTGACGCTGCCGTAATAGCTCCCATATCTATATATTTTCCAGTTACACCTATGCTAAGTGATTACCCGAGCTCATTCTCCTACATATGGCTAACTCCGAATGACTGAAAGAAATTATGAGAGACTTTTTTGACAAAAACAAAGTCGGAGGTGTAGTCCAGTCATTATAGTAAGTTCACCTCGGAATTCGAGATACCCAGCTGTAAGTCTGTAAATACTTGTATATTGACACCCTAAAAGTTGTCTCAAAACCTACATATGGTAGGGTGTACGCAACTATTAAATTTCAAGGTCAAAGGTCACAAAAATCGGTTTTTTGCGCTTTTTTTGTAAATATCTCATTTCCTATGGGTTTTTTACTATTGGTATTTATTATCAATATTGTAGAATACAAAATTCTCTACAAATTTTGTTTAAAAAAATTTTTCATACGGTGAACCGTTTTCGAGATAGAGGGCGGAGAGCGCGCGGTCACGGCATCACTTCAGGTCAACCGGTGCTTCCGGTCAAAAACGCGCCATATATAGTTGATGAACTATCGATAAATCAATGATTATAAATATTTGTCAATTTTTATTAACTATTATATTATATTTTATAATTTTCTTCATGCCTTAAATCTTTATCTATTTAATAATACTGATTTACCGTTTCCTAAAATTAAAAAATAATGAAGGGAAAAACTTAAATCTTACTATAATTATATTCCCATTAACACTAATGACATTTTAATTAGAAAATAATTAAGTGCATCTTCTTTAAAATCTGTAAATTTTAAAATCCTAAAAGAGATATACTCGACTAAAAGTTTTGATAATTATCCTCCTTCTGCGCTTTTTAAAAAGGGGAAAAAAACATTTTTAAAAGTTTTTGAGAAACTGACCAATTTGGATGAACTAGCTGCAGCATTTGAGGAAGAAAATTGTTCGGCCCAGAGATTATTAGAGAGTGGAACTCAAACTTTATTGGCAGTCTATAATGCTCCGAAATCTGTGAAAAGTCTCGATCATCTTCGTTATATGCATTACGTCAAGTCTACAAAACTTAATAAACCTGTGCAGCTTTCAAATATTCCACCAACAAGTGCAGCTGCTCATCAACATTTCGAACGTGTATATTATCAAGTTCAAACTTGGTTAGGGCATGATTTGGAACCCAATGACAATTTTACCACCTGCTCCAGAACATTTGCTAAATACAATTTTCTGCAACTGCAAGAGTGGTTGTGGTTCGCGATGCGGATGCAGGAAAGCGGGCTTGCAATGCTCTTTAGCTTGTGGCCAATGTAATGGGCAAGCTTGTCTCAATGCTCTACCATATCAGAGCGAGATTAACGAAGATGGAACTTTTGACCCCGAAATCATGGAAGAACTTGAAACAAATGTCGTTGAAGACGATAATGAAGACCAGTTTGAAATTTACCAGCAGCCGGAAGACGACGATGAAGAGGAAGAAGATGATTAAAATCATAAATTGTAGTTTTTGTACCCTTTATTTTTTACTTTTAATAAAAATAAATGTATTGAATGATATTTAATAAATTTTTTATATTTTTTTTTTATCATATAAGAAGTTACGCGTTTTTGATCGGAGGCACCGGTTGAACTGAAGTGATGCCGTGACCGCGCGCTCTCCGCCCTCTATCTCGAAAACGGTTCACCGTATGAAAACTTGAAACAGGGAACGAAATCTGCATTTATGCTAAGGTAAAGTTCCTAACTAGTGGATTCAGATATCAGTTTGCCAATTATAAAGAACGATCACCATGTACTATACAGTCGTAAGCTTGCACTAAAGATTTTTGTTATGCTCAGAAAGCTTTTCTTTATAAACTAAAAATTATAGTATTCTTTATATAAAGAGGTATAGTATTCTTTATGTAAAGTACATTTGGAAATATCACAAATTAAACGCCAAACTTAAGGCGTTAAAGTAATTTTTCTACCAGATAATCTCCTGGAACTTTTCGATTTAGATATATATAAAAAAGGCTGTCATATATTGAAAAAAAAAATACAAGTAAGGAGAACTCTATAAATTGTGTATCGGAAGGAAGGAGACATTTTAATCTATTTATATTTTTGCCATCTGTTTGTTTATCATTTATTTATTCATATTTTAAGAGTATACAAACAAATTAAAAAAGCAATTAAAAGTTTCATAAAGTTATGCGTTATTAAAGTAGAACAGGAAAAAGGGCCACGTTCTAGTTGTCACGATTTCTACATTGTGGTCATTTCAATGGCAGACTCTTTATTTGTACAAATGTCATTATCATACGATCCATCAAAACTTTATCGTATTTTATTACAATTACAAATTATTATTAAAAACAGTGTTTTTTGGTTCATAGAACAGCAAATAAAATGACTGATTAGAACTTGAGATATCCTGACGACCGCATTGAAAAAATCAGTTTTGAGAAAAAGACTTAAAAAACTCAAGTTTTTTGAATGCTGAAATAAATTCTCAACAGTCGGTCTTTCGAGTTGAATTAGAGCCGTTTATCACAATATATAGTATATGCATTTGCAGTGTTAATCCTACAAGGCACCTTCATTCTTGGAATCCGATCCCATCCTACATCTAGAAATACTAACTCACTTTTTCCCAGCACATGTTTGTACTTAGAGTAAAGTCAACAGAACAAAATCAATGGATCAGAATAGCGCCAGCGGTAACGGTGTCAACATATAAAAATATATTTTTTTACACAATATATATGTATGTAGTATTGTATATATGAATAAAGGTATTGATTTAATAAAAATAATATAACATGAAGATAGATGCGGCGTAAGGACTCGTTTCGGTTTTATAGCTGTAAAGCTTTCCTGGAATTTGTAGTGAATGTTTTTCGACAAATTCCACCTCAAATTGAGCTCAAAAATAAAATACAAATGTTTATTTATGCCCAAACGCTAATGGCTGAATTTCCCATAGTTCGGTATACAGATTTCATTATTGGACTTCTTGGAATATTGCACAATTTAAGGATTGTGGGAAGTTATATTTTAGTTGTTTAACAGGAAGACTACTTTAATCAGTGATGAGTAGAAAATACATACGATCCACAAATGAAGTTGACTGTGACCCTATAATGAAATTAAAACGTTAAATTTCAAAAATATTTGCATACGTTCCAGCAATGGAATTTATTTGGTTG